CCCCCCGCCGCGGCCCCGCGCGCCCGCCTTTCCAGTCCGGGCGAGGCTCTCACCCTGCGCGGCCTAACGGGCGCTGCAGCCCAGCGAGGAGAGGAGGCGCTGGGGCTGCGGGGAGAAAGGAGGAGGCTGCTCCAAACCCCATCCCTCGGCCCAGCCTCGCCGCCTGTGCCGCAGGCTCCGGCAGCGTAATGCGAGCGCGACGCCCCCTCCACAAGCCCTCTCGGCGGTCTCGGCCGCTTCTGCCCTCGCAGCCCCTGGCCTGGCCGGCCCCTGGCTCCGAGTCCTACGGGTTCAGCCCCGGGAGGCCGGCCTCCCTTCTCCGCCCCGCCTCCCCCAGCTCCGCATCCCGTCTCTGAGCCCCGCCAGGCGCGGGGCGGCTGCTGGGCGGAGGTGCGGAGTGCGGAGACACGGAACAGGTGTGACTGTGAACGAATGGGCATTCCCAGGATCAGGCACTCGGCCAGGGCCTGGCGGGCGGAGGCGGTGGCTGAGTGCCATAGACCGGAGTCCGGGCGGGGGACCAAACTACAGCACTGTATATTTAATGCTCTTATTCAAAGCCAGCCTGCCCTAGTCAACACCAGACGACATGAGACTCCGCGCCTCTCCGTGCCAGCTTCACCCTGCATCTGAAACGCTACCGCACGGTGTGATCCACTTTCCAAGTCTACCCTAATGTATTCAGGCCAGAGGGTCGGACTGGGGAAAGAGGACATGCATTGCTCTGGCTACCTCAGGGTTTCATTGGAGAAAAGTACTTTTCTCAGACTGGTACAGCAGAACTAGGTCATCCCAGAAGTGGAAAGTGGGCAGAGAACAAGGCAATCTCCTCCAACCCCCACCCCCCCAACACACACACACAGATGGGAAGGGTGGGGAGTCCCCAGTTTTGGTGTATTGGACCTCATCATTCTCTCCAGCTTTGAATCAAGCTTAGAATTGGAAGAGCTTTGGAAAGAAATTATACTGATTGTCCAGCTCGCCCACCGCTCCCAAATGACAGTTTAGGCCCAACTAGATGATACTCTGATCTCTAAATTCAGATTCTCCCTGAAAGGAAGTCTTTTGAGGATTTTTTTTCTTTTTTTTTCTTTTTCTGCAGAAGAAACATTCAAAGGCACACTCACCATTTCTAAGGCAACTTCCTCATTCTCTTCTTCCTTTACCATAATCTCTACATTACAATCTGTGGCAGTTGTCTGTGAATTCTGTAAGGGAGAATAATAAAAGTATGGTGTGAAGACAAAATTTTTCAGATGGTATCAGCACTTATATAAGGTCAAAGTACTGGCTTGCTTGTAGTTCAGCATGTTGATTATGTGCAAACTTCCTTTGGCTATTGCCAGAAGTCAGTGGATGGAAGTTTCCATGTCCGGTAGCATGTTCATAAGACTGACCATATAAGATGCAGAACCAGCGATTCAAGAGCCCAATAAATAACAGTGATGAGAAATAGTCATGTTAGCATATGGTCTTGAGCAACTGATACATACAAATTGCTGAATGTACAGTAGGAATTGGTGGTGCAGTGGTTAAATGTTCAACTGCTAACCAAATGGTCAACAGCTGAAACCCATCAGCCTTCTCAGCAGGAGAAAGATGTGGCAGCCTGCTTCCGTAAAGATTGCAGCCTGGGAAACCTTATGAAGCAGCTCTTCTCTGTCCTTTAGGGTCACTGGGAGCACCAACTGGATGACAAAGGATTTGGTGCCTACAGTAGGCCTGGTGTGGCGCTGTAGGCTAAGCACTAGACTGCTAATCACAAGGTCAGTGGATCAAACCCACCAATTGCTCCTCGGAAGCCCTATGCAGGGTTACTATGAGTTGTAACTGACTCTATGACACTTACAAGAAGAATCTAATTGAAGTGATGTACCACTTTAACATACCTGTGTAAAAGCCAACCCACAGGCTAGATCTTTATAGGAGTGATGGTGGTGTGCCATGGAGTTGGTTCCTACTCATAGTGATCCTGTACAGGGTTTCCGAGGCTATAAATCTTTACAAGAGCAGAAAGCCTCGTCTTTCTCTCATGGAACAGCTGGTAGCTTCCAACTGCTGACCTTGAGGTTAGCAGCTCGATTCGTAACCACTATGCTACCAGAGTTCCTTATATTATGGGAGTAGACAGCCTTATCTTTTGCCCGAGGAATAACAGATGGGTTTGAGCCACCTGCCAACACAGAACCCACAGTACCACCAGGCTCCTTTTCCTTTCATTAGCGTGCCTTCAAAAAAAAAATAATAAACCAAACAAAAACCTAGGTCCGATCAAAATGGTGCCTCCCAAGGGGATCTTCTGGGCCAGTCACAGTCAAAGAGGGCTGTCAGCTCAGAAGTTGATGGTGACTTTTTGGGACTCCAAAGAAGAAGGTAATCTTCACTGATTTTCTCGAAGGACACAGTATAATCGTGGGGGCTTGTTAGGAAGAAGTTTTACAGAAATGAATAAACTACATTGGTGGGAAAATGGCCAGGAAAGTTATGCCAAGTAAGTTGTTCATCACGACAGTGCACTCGTACATACTTTGAGGATAGCAAGGAATGTCCATATTTGGGAGATAGCGCTTCATTAACCCTACAATTCTGATCTCGCCTCTTAGACTTCTTTTCATTCCCTAAACTCAACATTTCAAAGGAACATGACTTGAATCCCTCAGAGGATGCCAATACATCTGATACCTCCATTTGATGTGGTATAAACTGAAGTACAGAATTCTTTGGGGAAAGGTTAGGGAGATGATCACCACCTTCAGAAGTGTATAGACCTAGATAGGGGATATGCTGAGAAGCAGTTTTGATATTTTTGCTTAGTAAAGGTTTCTCTGATTTTGTAAATACTTTTTGACTTACCCTGGTATGGATTTCTTGGCTGTAATCTTTATGCAAGCGGATTGCCAGGACTTTCTTCTCATGTGCTGCTGGGTCCCAACCACCAACTTTTAGGTTGGATGTTGAGGGCAAACATTTGCACCATCCAGGAGCCCTAAGGCCTAGTAAATTATGATTGATATTATTATGATGTATTAGTGGGTGCTATATGCTACTGAGTGGGTTCTGACTCACAGTGACCCTGTATAGGGTTTCCAAGGCAGTAAATCTTTTCAGGAGTAGATTTTCCTCTTTCTCCTGTGGAGTGACTAGTAGATTCGAACTACTGATCTTGTAGTCCATTATGCTACCAGGGCTACCAAACAAAGCATTGTTTGTTTGTGTTTAGTTATTTTATTATGTAAACTCGATCCTAGGAGTCCTGGTGTGGTGCTATGGGATAAAGTACTTGGCCACAAGGTTGGTGTAAACTGAAAGGTCAGTAGTTCAAGCTCATCAGCTACTACTTGGAAACCCTATACAGGATCACTGTGAATCAGAACCAACTCAATGGCACTTAACGCAGCCCAATTTATCAGATACTAAAAACAGATACAATCTCTAATTGCTATTCAGGCTATGGAAAGTACTTCATTATAATAGCATAAATGTAATTCACATGTGCATATATTAACTTGCTAGATTTAGCTTGAATTGTTTTAAAATCGTAAAATCAACTTCAAGGATCCCAGGTCTTCTATTTATTTATTTACTTCCCTAATGTTGCATGCATGGAAAACCTTGAAAAGCTTCATTCTGTAGCCCAGTGTAGACTTCACCACAAGGAGTGTGGGAAAATCTTCTGGACTTAAAAAAAAAAAAAAGGAGCTTCTGTTTTTTAATCCAGTGTTTAAAAAAGTTCTAATAAAGTAAAATATGTAACATAAAAGTTACATTTATTTTATAAATTACCTAATAGAATATGTGAAGTCTTGGTGTGGCGCTGTGGGTTAATATGATGAACTACAAAGTCGGTTTGAACCGTGAGGTTGGTCAAGCTCACCAGTCACTCCTCGGAAACCCTACACAGGGTAGGTATGGGTGAAAACCTACTCTACAGAACTTAACAACAACAATAGGCTATGTACACAACTGGACCATATGTAAAGCGTGCTAAGTATTTTAATGTACAATCTAACATTTGGGGCATATACTCTGATTAGTGTCACCTGTGGTCAGGTTGTTGTTGTTAAGTGTTGTGGAGTTGATTCTGACCTGTAGCGACCTTGTATAGGGTTTCCAAGAAGCAGCTAATGAGCTTGAACCATTCACCTTGCAGTTGGACGCATTATCCCAGAGCACCACACCAGGACTGCTGTGGCCAGGCCGTTGTTGTGAAGTGCTGTTGAGTCGGTAGTGCTGTTGAGTCGGTTCCGATCCGCAGCAACCCTGTATAGGGTTTCCGAGGAGCAGTTGGTGAGCTTGAACCACCAAGCTTGCAGTTGTTAGAGTTTAGTAGTTGTTGTTGTTGTTATGTGCCTTGTAGTCAGTTCCGACTCAATAGCGACGCTGCACAGGGTTTCTGAGGCTGTAAATCCACGGAACCACTGGTAGTTTCGAACTGCTGACCTTGCGGTTCACAGCCCGATTCGTAACCACTACGCCACCTGAGCTCCTTAGTTGTTGTTGTTGTTGTT